TTGACACAAGGGTTCATATATGTCAATTTGTGTTTGTAATTGAAACAAGAGTTCATATATGTCGAGTTGTGTTCATATGGTTGTACGAATATTCATATATGTGAATTTGTGTTCATATGGTCACACATGTTCATCATCTTTCATATGTTCATTTGGGTCAATATGTGTTCATATTTATACCAACTATACATATATGCCAATCTGTGTTCATAATTGACACAAGGGTTCATATATATATCGACTTGTGTTCATATGGTTGTACGAATGTTCATATATGTGAATTTGTGTTCATATGGTCACACCTGTTCATCATATTTCATATGTTCATTTGGGTCAATATGTGTTCATATTTAATACCAACTGTACATATAGGTCAATCTGTTTTCCTAATTGACACAAGTGTTCATATATGTCAATTTGTGTTCGTAATTGACACAATGGTTCATATATGTCGAGTTGTGTTTTTATGGTTGTACGAATGTTCTCATATGTGAATTTGTGTTCATATGGTCAGACGTGTTCATCATCTTTCGTATATGTCAATTTGAACGATACCAAAAACTTTACTATCGGGTCTTCTCCACCAATCACAAATTCATAAACATTACAGATAGAAAATCAGTATTAAAAAAATAACAAGATTAATAATAAGTTAACACAAATCATGAGATTTTATGATTTTGTAACTTCCGATTAATGATATAGAAGTTACATAAATAATAACATATGTACCCTTGTCATTAAATTCTAAGATTGATCACTACGACCCGCAAATATCACCTTTTCTGATCTATCGTCGAGTTTGCTTCTTTTCTGTCCAGGGACATGGGAATAAGCCAAACTGATATGTGTTGAGAATTTAATACATAAAGCACTCATTTTACGTCTTTTTAGTTATAATAATTTCTTTTTATTCCACTTTGAGTCATTTTCATTTATTTCTTTATACATTTGTTATTATGAAGCTAAATATTGTGGTTGACTTGTTGGTATGCTTGGATAAAGCTAATAGAGAGTTTTTGTGAAAACAGCAGATGCTGCAGCATTGGTGCAGCRTCGATCTGATTCATGCGCAGCTTTTTGGAGGGCTTAATGGATAAGACGCTGACTTTTTGGAAGGTGGAAGACAGCTGTAAAAGCTGGGTTTTATTGAAAAATCTGATGTTAGACTTTGGTTAGGCCTTTGTACTTTTTAGTTACTCTTTTGTTGGGTTGTAACTTACTTTTGGATACTTAGCCTCTAAGTCTTTTATTTTTGTCTTCTAGTGACCCATTTTGAGTATAAAAAGAAGGCTTGGGGTGCCTTCTAAACCATCCATTACTCCAACTTTCATCCATTCCATTTGCTAGTATTGTAAACCCTCTTCAAGGGTGGTTTTAATTAAGCTYTTGAAGTTCTTCATCTTTTTCTTCATTTACATTCTCGTCTTTTATTTTCCGTCATTTACATTCTCGTCTTTTATTTTCTCGTCATTTACATTCTCGTTATTTACAATTTCACTATTTACATTCTCGTCATTTACATTCCCGTCATTTATTTTCTCGTCATTTACATTTCCGTCATTTATTTTCTCGTTATTTACTTTACGCAATTTACGTTTATGTCTTTATTTTCCGTCATTTATTTTTTTACTTTCCGTTATGAGTAGCAAAACTTTTATAGCTTGGGTGTAAGACGGAAATGTGAGATTTTCAAACCAAACAAAAGTAGCTAAGTGTTTCGTAAACGACGTTTCATTGTTTCATTCGAGTTTTTATAAAACCAAGCACATTTCTTGACGGGTTGATCACTTGAAAGTGTTAAAGTGCGATGGACTTAGAGATAAGCCATCAATAAGCACGTCAACTTGGATGACATAAGAGGTAGACTTGAGAAAGTTGCCGACAAGGAGACTTGTCATTTATGTTTTTCAAACCTTAACTCCCGACGGGTTGGTCGCTCTTCAAAAGTGTCAAAGTGTGATAGATTCAGAGATGAACTATCAAGAACACGCCAACTCGAATGATATGGGAATCGACTCGAGAGAGTGATTTTTAACAAAGAGATTTGTTTATCTATATATTTTGAAAACACCATTGTGTCACTATCCCCGGTCCGGACACCACATAGAGATATGGGTGGAAAGCTATAAGATAGTGAAATGGTGAAATCCGAGAGGAATGCCTTCAAAATAGATGGAGGAACTCAGTTTCGAAGCACTGCTTGCTGTAGCATTCCTATAGCATTGGCTGCTGGAATTTGTGTTTGGGTCTCACCTTAAGTCTTACACCCTTGCTTCTTTTATATATTATGTATTCTGTTTTGGATCACCTTAAAATCAAAGAAAAGTCTTCAAAATCGTCATCTAAAATCATCTCTTTCATTGGACTCAAATCTAACTTTGGCTACAATCTCTGTGGACGATAATCCGGTACTTGTACCACTTTATTACTTGGAAAGACGACGTTGGGCCGTATTGTATACTTGCTTTGTGGCCCAATTTCATTAAGTCTAAATGTGTGAAATATAACCGACCAAGTTTTTGGCGCCGCTACCGGGGATTGCTTCGCTAAAAGTTTTATTTTTTGAGTAAAGTAAAAGATTTGATTTTTCTAGTACCATCAGAATCGTTTTTAAAAGTGGTGTATGCCACGGTCACAACGCGGGTAATTTTTCGAATTTGATCCCGATATTGAGAGAACGTTTCACCATCGTAGGAGGGATCAAAGAGCAATTTTTGCTCTACTCCCTCCGAACATGGCGTTACCTCCCCCAATTATTCCGGAAATACCACATTTGGAAAACCAATCGTCGAGTTTTGAACAAATTCCACAATTCCCGAACTTTCAACAAGGACATCCACATAATGGTAATGATAATAATTTGGACACAGAATCGGAACCTAATGAGCACCAAAGAGCACAAACTCCGAACATTATTAATTTGGCAAATTCCAAAAATGGGAGGATCATGGATTATGCTATTCCGGATTTTGAGCAATTAAATTCCGGGATAGTTAGACCACATATGACCGCTCTCCATTTCGAACTAAAACCGATAATGTTTCACATGTTGCAAACAAATGGCCAATTTGCCGGATTACCTTCGGAGGACCCACATTCGCATTTAAAATCTTTTATGGAAATCACTGATGCTTTCTTGATCCTGGGAGTGTCAAATGATGCTCTAAGACTCACTTTGTTTCCATTTTCCTTGAGGGATCGGGCAAAAGCATGGTTTAATTCGTTAACTCCGGGTTCTGTGCCATCATGGAGTAACATGGCGGAAATTTTTTTGCGAAAATATTTCCCACAAACAAGGAACGCTAAGTCCAGAAATGAGATCTGTCTTTTTAAACAAATGGACGATGAGGCTGTTCCTGACGCGTGAGAAAGGTTCAAAGAGCTGTTAAGGAAATGTCCGCACCATGGCATTCCGTACTATATTCAAATTGAGACATTTTACAATGGGTTAAATCCCATGGCAAAACAAATGCTCGATGCGACTGCGGACGAAGCCTTTACTAGGAATGTTCAAAAAAACCGTTGGACCGTTCAAACCGGTCGAACCAAGTCAAACCGGACCGTTTTTGACGGTTTGAGCGGTCTGGTGGTTTGGTTTGGTTTGGAAAATAGCAAAACCGGGCTGTCCGGTCTGGTTTGCGGTCTGAAACTTTTTTTAGGCGGTTTGGGCCAAACCAACCGCCAAATACATATTTATTTATTTTAGTATTACCATTCTCAACTTTTTTAACTTATGGACTATGATCCAAATATATCCCTAAGCCCAACATAAAGCCTAACATCTAACATAATCAAATCCAAATGAATCGTCGCCTAAAAACCCCTAAACCAATAAACATATTGACACATTTGACATTGATGGTCTCCAGATTTTGAAATCCCTTAAGAACTCTACCAATCTATCGATATTTACTAATTCATGGTTTGATTTCGGCACACATTATCAAGACATGAACCAAGTTATTCAACCAACTAAGATTTGTCTTCTATTATGTTTAGTCAAGAATTGAAGGTTGTGAAATCGTGGATTTTGTTACTCAATACTCACAGTGGAAGTGGAATTGTAACTTTGTTAATTTGTTTGTTTTCTAATATGAATTATATATTTATTTCTTTGGACTTTGGATTGTTTGGATTTTGGACTCAAGAGCTGTTTAATTATTACATTTATTTGTTTGGATATTTTGTTTTGTTAAAATGGATAWTTAATCTAAAATTCTAAATTATATATGTTTTTTAAGTTTAATATTTAAAGTCCATTAAAGGTCCAAACCGCCTAAACCAGTCAGACCAAACAGTCTTTTCGTGGTCTGGTTTGACCGGTCTGGGCACTTGATCTCAAATCGCTCGGTTTTGAAAATTTTATAAACCGCTATTACGGGTTGGATTGTGGTCTGAGGGGTTAAACCGCCCAAACCGGACCGCGGACACCCCTAGCCTTTACAGCCATGACCTATAATGAAGGATATGAAATCCTAGAAAAGATCTCAGCCAACAATGGGCATTGGGCAGACCCACGTGCTCAATCACAGAATAAGACTGCTGGGATACATGATGTAGATGCATATACTGCATTAACAGCTCAGCTTACCTCCATGACCAACCTGCTGAAAAATTTAACTTCTGGTCAGGGAGGACAACAAGTTGCTAATACACCAGTCCCAACAGTCCTATCTGTGCAGTGTGTGTGTTGTGGTGGGGAACACTCGTATGGACATTGTCCTCATAATTCTGAATCCATAAACTTTGTTCATAATGGATCTGGTCCCTATACCAACAATTACAATGCAAGTTGGAAACAACACCCGAATTTTTCTTGGAACAGTCCATGTTTAAATCCACCCGCACCTAAGCAACAAGGAACTTCTAATTTCCAACCACAACATCATGGAAACAGTTCTAACTCTCAGACTCATCACCAAAATTTTCAAACTGCTCAACCACCTTTTCAAAACAAGCCACCTCCTCAGTCTGATTTATCAACTTCTTTGGAAGCGATGATAAAAGGGTTATTTGCGCATGCTCAAGCTCAAAATCAAGMTTTGATAACCCAAMAAAACTCTCAAAATCAATCTCTTTTTAATCAACAAAGTGTTGCTATCAGAAATCTGGAAACCCAAGTCAGTCAACTTGCACTCAATCAAACTAATAGAGTCCTTGGTACTTTGCCTAGTAACACAGAAGTCCCGAGAGCCTTAGGAAAGGAACATGTGAAAGCAGTGACCCTTAGGAGTGGGAAGGAGTTGACTGAAAAGGTGCAAAATGCTAGTGCACCAAGTTTGTCAAAAGCTGATGCTACAACATTGGTACCTGCCAAAGAAAGACCGGTCCAACCTTTAGAGAAGCAAGCATCTGATACCACCACTTCTGTTCCCCCAAGATCAGACTATCTTTTACTGTTTCCAGAAGATGTTTTAAAAAAATCAGAAGGGACTGAGGTTTTAGAGACCCCTAAGCTTGATGCTAAGACTCCATCTAAACCTCCAAAGTGCACAACAAAGACTCAAGGCATTCAAGACCCATCTTGCACAACACATCCAAGCAAGAATGTGATAAAACCAGTTCCTCCTTATGTTCCTTACCCCCAAAGGTTGAGAAATCAAAAAGAGGAACTGCATTTTAAGAAATTCTTGGATGTGTTTAAAGAATTGCACATCAACATCCCACTTGTTGAGGCAATTGAGCAAATGTCTAGTTATGCTAAGTTTTTGAAGGACATCCTAAGTAAGAAGAAGAAGTTGATTGAATACGAGACTATAGCCCTTACCCGAAGGATGTAGTGCACTTCTGACCAACAAGATACCTCCAAAGCTTAAAGACCCGGGAAGTTTCACTATTCCTTGTTCTATAGGTGGGAAAGAGATTGGGAAAGCTTTGTGTGACTTAAGTGCTAGTATCAACCTCATGCCTTTATCTGTTTTCAACACCTTAGGCATAGGGGAGGCTAGACCTACCACGGTTACACTCCAATTGGCAAACAAATCCATAGCATACCCTAAGGGAAAGATTGAGGATGTCTTAGTACAAGTTGACAAGTTCATATTTCTGACAGATTTTATCATCCTAGACTTTGAGGCAGATAAGGACATTCCTATTATTTTAGGGAGACCATTTCTAGCCACCGGAAGAACTTTGATAGATGTACAGAAAGGAGAGTGACCATGAGACTTCAAGACCAAAAAGTCACATTTAATGTCTTCAACTCTCTAAAGTACCCTGATTACTTGGAGGAGTGTTCAAAGATAAAAGAAATAGAGGAAATGTGCCTTGAAGAAGGAATTCAGAAAAACCTTAAGTTGGAAGAGGAGTGTGATGAGGAAATAGAAGAAGATGTTGAGGAAATAGAGGAAATAGGAAATGATATTGTCCAAGTGGATGCTACAACATTTGAGTTGCTGGAAAATAGTGAGCAGAAAGACTTCACCCCGTCCATTATATCACCATTTGACTTAGAATTGAAACAACTCTCACCTCACATAGATTCTGAGAATTATGCACTCTTGCACACGACCTCTGAGGCATATTTGGTTGAGATCATGACTTTCCTTGGAATACCTAAGACTGATTGGAAGCCTTACACTCAATTCATGTTGAAAACCTTTAAAGCTGCTAATCTGTCCTCTGATAAGAATGTTTGGATAAGCTTTATTAGACATTATTTATCATCGACTAATCATAACAGCTCCATTTTTGTAGAAAGGTTGGTGCTTTTGTTTAGTCTCATAACAGGTGAGAATATCAACTTTCGTGAAAACATTCTGAAGGCCATCATGGTGGATAACAAGTGTTTGTTTGAAGAGAATGAGAAGTTGAAGAAGGAGATGGCAGTTCAGACTTCACAGCCTACTCCTTCGGAGTAGGACATGTTCTACCACCTTACTTTAGCTTCATATTTCACTTTTTGAGTCGGGAATAGTTTTTTTTTAGTTTTTAGTCTTAATTTTTATGCATGATCATTTGAGTTGAGGTATGTTGCACATGAGATCATAGCCCAAATAATTTTATTGATTACTTGTCATTCAATCAAGGTATTTTGTTTTTGCTAGAACTAGCAAAACCTTTTTTGGGAAAACACTTTGATCACACAATCACTATTAGGAAATGAGATACGCCTTCTTTTCTATGATCATATTAGCCACTTGCACCTTTCAAACACCGTTTACCCCATAAATCTCCAATGAGGACATTGTCGTATTCAAGTTTGGGGGAGAAGTTTACATAAGGACAAAAAGTCAATACAAAAGAGCAAAGCTCTAAATTGACTCATTATCACAAAAGGGTTTGGAAAAACACAACAAAAGTCCCATAGGAGCTATGTGTTTTGAAAAAGCACAATAAAAGTCTCATAGAGGCTATGTGCACACTCCAATCAAAAGAGGCCAAAAGTGCCCAAAAATTTGAAAATTTTATATGTGGAGTATAAAAGGAAAAAGGCTATGAGAGAAAAGAAACGCCAAAGAGAGTAAATCCTATAAGCCCTATTGATCCTAAATATGTGATTGTGTTTGAGCTTAACAAAGAAAAGGGTAATGCTAGCTTATGGTTCACACAAAAAAACTTGGTGTTGAGTGACTCATCTTGGATTTATGAAAGGCTATAAACTTCATGTTTGGTATAACTCTCATTGAGTGGGCACTTAATGCCTTGGTCATGCATTTTTGTGTAAATTGAGTCTTTTTGTTTGTCTTTTGGTTGCTTGGGGTCAAGCAACGGTTTAAGTTTGGGGGTGTGATATGTGTTGAGAATTTAACACATAAAGTACTCATTTTACGTCTTTTTAGTTATAATAAATTTCTTTTTATTCCCACTTTGAGTCATTTTCATTTATTTCTTTGTACATTTGTTATTATGAAGCTAAATATTGTGGTTGACTTGTTGGTATGCTTGGATAAAGCTAATAGAGAGTTTTTGTGAAAACAGCAGATGCTGCAGCATTGGTGCAGCATCGATCTGATTCATGCGCAGCTTTTTGGAGGGCTTAATGGATAAGACGCTGACTTTTTGGAAGGTGGAAGACAGCTGTAAAAGCTGGGTTTTATTGAAAAATCTGATGTTAGACTTTGGTTAGGCCTTTGTACTTTTTAGTTACTCTTTTGTTGGGTTGTAACTTACTTTTGGATACTTAGCCTCTAAGTCTTTTATTTTTGTCTTCTAGTGACCCATTTTGAGTATAAAAAGAAGGCTTGGGGTGCCTTCTAAACCATCCATTACTCCWACTTTCATCCATTCCATTTGCTAGTATTGTAAACCCTCTTCAAGGGTGGTTTTAATTAAGCTCTTGAAGTTCTTCATCTTTTTCTTCATTTACATTCTCGTCTTTTATTTTCCGTCATTTACATTCTCGTCTTTTATTTTCTCGTCATTTACATTCTTGTCATTTACATTTTCGCTATTTACATTCTCGTCATTTATTTTTCTCGTCATTTACATTGCCGTCATTTATTTTCTCGTTATTTACTTTACGCAATTTACGTTTATGTCTTTATTTTCCTTCATTTATTTTTTTACTTTCCGTTATGAGTAGCTAAGCTTTTATAGCTACCAAAGGGCCTTTGGCCTAGCGGTATCGTAGCCCTTGGCCTTCTAGGAGGTCAGGGGTTCAAACCTCACCATAGGTGAGGAGGGWGTGTGAGTTTATTTGTTGCATTTGCCGTATATAAATATTATATACTTCAAAAAAAGCTTTTATAGCTTGGGTGTAAGACATAAATGTGAGATTTTTAAACCAAACGAAAGTAGCTAAGTGTTTCGTAAACGACGTTTCATTGTTTCATTCGAGTTTTTATAAAACCAAGCACACTTCTTGACGGGTTGATCACTTGAAAGTGTTAAAVTRCGATRRACTTAGAGATAAGCCATCAATAAGCACGTCAACTTGGATGACATAAGAGGTAGACTTGAGAAAGTTGCTGACAAGGAGACTTGTCATTTATGTTTTTCAAACCTTAACTCCCGACGGGTTGGTCGCTCTTCAAAAGTGTCAAAGTGTGACAGATTCAGAGATGAACTATCAAGAACATGCCAACTCGAATGATATGGGAATCGACTTGAAAACACCATTGTGTCACTTTCCCGGTCCGGACACCACATAGAGATATGGGTGGAAAGCTATAAGATAGTGAAATGGTGAAGTCCGAGAGGAATGCCTTCAAAATAGATGGTGGAACTTAGTTTCGAARCACTGCTTGCTGTAGCATTCCTATAGCATTGGCTGCTGGAATTTGTGTTTAGGTCTCACTTTAAGTCTTACACCCTTGCTTCTTTTATATATTCTGTATTCTGTTTTGGATCACCTTAAAATCAAAGAAAAGTCTTCAAAATTGTCATCTGAAATCATCTCTTTCTTTGGACTCTAATCTAACTTTGGCTACAATCTCTGTGGACGATAATCCGGTACTTGTACCACTTTATTACTTGGAAAGACGACGTTGGGCCGTATTGTATACTTGCTTTGTGGCCCAATTTCATTAAGTCTAAATGTGTGAAATATAACCGACCACAAACAACCAAACGTTCTGAGGTGACTTACTCCAGGTTTATGTCCGCACCATGCTTCTTGAGGAGTGATACTTTCAAGGGATTTGGTGCATGCTCTATTCATCAAATATACTGCACAGGCCACGACTTTAGCCCAAAACATATCAGGTAGTTTCTTACTCTTAAGCATGCTCCTTGCCATCTCTAATAAGCTTCGATTTTTTCTCTCGGCTACCCCGTTCTATTGGGAGTTGTAGCGTGTAGTGAGTTGTTTTGGATTCTATTATCCTTCAAAAGTTCTTGGAATTGATTTGAATTAAATTCCCCTCCACAGTCGGTTTTTAAGCATTTTATCCTTTGATAACTTTGATTTTCAACAAATGCTTTGAATGTAACAAACGTCCAAAACACCTCTGTGTTTTCTTTCAAAAAGTACGTCTAAATCTTTCTGCTATAATCGTCAATGAATGTTAATATGTATTTGCTTCCTCCTATTGAGATTGTCCTCATTGGTCTGCAGTCTTACTATTTTCACTCGTTCTTCTCCACGATATGTCCTATAGAGGGTGTCCTACGCTTCCTTTGCAGTTCTTGAAGATGAAATACGTTCGAAGATATTTTCGTTCACTGTTTGAAATATAAAGAACAATGTCTTTCTATCTTTTCTCCTGTTGTCTCTATCTTCGAGCATTTTTTGGTGCGTTGTTCCTTCTGCTTGAACCAATTATGTGTAGCCGTTTTCAACAATGTTCCAAAGTTCCTGCGATTCGTACAATACTCTCATTTGTATGTTCCAGTGATGATAATTTATCCCTGTTAGTTTCGGTAATTGAGGTTGTAATGTATTGTTGTTTGCAGTGTTGCCATGGATGAATTGGCTCTGATACCAATTTGTTGGAGAACATAGTAAGATGCAATATCATACCCACAAATATACAACTTTTCTTATTAAAACATCCAACCTTGTACATACCCATATTATTTTTATTTATACAACCTAAAAGACATCAATTGAGAGATGCGATGGTTCAAAAGGATGGCAGTTACATCCATTTCAACCAACACACCTATTGCAACATAAACATATATAAAAACTATCTTAACTTAATTTGACTTGTCTAGCTTACTATTTTCACATTCGGGCATGACCACACAAATGTAAATGTATTCGACGATATATATATATATATATATATATATATCATGCTTATTGTTTCAACTCTTTGTGGCATTGTTCAATGGGTCCAAGTGCTGAAAACAATATTTATAGGATAATATATCTTTTTTTTATTAACCTGGATATCCAACCCACTATGCGAGTTGACTAATCACAGGGCAACCACCTATTTTGCAGATAGCCCGGAGTCATCGCATTTGAACCTCCATMGCCACAAGGGGATTTTTATTCCTCTTTGGATTTGAACCTGGAACCTCCTGATATTTTTGATCTTTGAAGCCAAGCTCAAACCAATCAGACACCACCCTTGTGGTTTAAGATAATATATCTTGTGATCGTAGTCAATACAACTTCAATTTTCACTTAAAAATACAAAGGAAGATCCGATAATCCATGAAGAAAATTACACATAACAACATACTAGCTACCAAAAGCTATATATAGTGTTAGATTGTCGCATTATAGTCTATACTCATCACCTACCTATTTTGTTTATAAATTGTTGATCACTAATCCTCTATTTAATAACCTAAGATATATATATATATATATATATATATATATAGAGAGAGAGAGAGAGAGAGAGAAATATAGCATTCCGATCGATGAACTGGAAATTCAAGCAATGCGAGGATCATGGGGCTCGTAGCCATGGGGAATGTTGTTAGGATGCGCACAGAAGCCATAGAGGTCCGGTACGCCATTTGAATACGTGATAGTAGATTCATACTCTCCCCTGTTCTCCCCCGTGGCATATTTTTTCTCTAGATGTCGTACCGTGTCCTGAAAAGGAAAAGAATAGATTCCATATCAACTATTCTATTCTGTATTTTTTTGGGTAAAACGTCCATTGTAATTAACTGTAAAGATAGAAAAGAAGTCGTCACTTAAAGTTTGCAATGTCTTGCATACTTGATCACTAAAGATATTACTTCGTTACATAATAATCATCGTATTCCGATAATTTTAATAGAAAAACGCAAGAAATCGTAAACTTTATTGTCCTTTTTTGTAGCTTTGCTAGTAAAATGGTTGTTTTGTACAAACTAACATGATCAAATAAAAGGGTCGGGTTCTGTGAGACCACCGTGTTTTCGTGAGATGCACAAAAATACACCAAACATACACATCAAAAACAAACATTCACAATGTTTTTGCTGTGAAGGATCAATATTTTTTTGTACCTTCAGTTCTCACATGATCCAAGTCAATCACGTGTCTGTGTATATATTATACATACATATATATATATATATGTGTGTGTGTGTGTGTATATATATATATGTAGATGTGGGTTATTATACAACCTCTTTACATTTGTACAACCAATACAACTTAATCTTAACCGTCCATTTAATTTGATGAATATGTGATTTCATAGAAGTTTTGATTGTTTACTAATATAAAGTATTGATCATAATTAATGAACCATATTCATCTTCCATAAATATTCAAATTATAATAAATGAACTCCCATCATTTTCATTAATATCTCAATTTATTGGGTTGCATTGGTTGTACAAATGTAATGGCTTGCATTTGAAACGAACTCTATATATGTATGTGTATATATATATATATATATATATATATATATATATATGTAGGGTTGGGTTCACATGAGACCAGACTATTTTCGTGAGACACGTGAGATCACATTTTTACACTTGAAACTTCACAGCAAAAACACTGTGAAGGTTACCTTCACAGCATTTTGCTGTGAAGTTTCAAGTGTAAAAAACTGGTCTCACAGGTCTCACGAAAACAGGTCGGTCTCACGTGATCCCAAGTCTATATATGTATATATATATATATAGAGAGAGAGAGAGAGAGAGAGAGAGAGAGAGATGAGCGATCAAATGAAAACCACTCCAATTTGTAAAAACCGTAAAAATTACTCTCATCCGTCGTAATCTTATGAAATTTTTTCATGAAATTGTTTAATCTTATGAAATTGTTTCATATAATACTCTTTTTGATGAAGTTGTTTCATATATGGTTATGAAGTTGTTTCATATATGGTTATGAAATTGTTTCATATACTACTTAATGACATTTTAATGAAACAGTTTCATGTATTTCTCTAAAATTAAAATAATGAAGATGATAATATCCATAATTAACACTCTCCACAATAAAAATGGTTAATCAACCTCTCATAATTACAAAAAAAAAAATAAACAAAATGAAAAATTATGATTGGTTGAATAAGGTTTTCACGGTTTTTACAAATTGAGTGGTTTTTATTTGAACGATCCCCTGTATAGATATATATATATATATATATATGTGTGTGTGTGTGTATATGTTTGTGGCTCGCTAGATGCTTACATAGCCTAGTTGAAGATTACCATTTCTTTGCTCCAAGTTCTTCACCTGTGGTCAATAAATTTCAGAAGTGAGTTTTCCAAATAAAGGACTGGACTTGGTTTACTTGCTCCATTCCACAAACTAAAAGAACTAAAATCGAATATTGGAGATCCATTAATAATTACCCTTTTCCTGCAAGTGTCTGTCTGAGTTTTGATCACGTGATACTGTCAAGCGCAAATGATCAATAAATCGTTTATTTGATTCAAAACATTAGGTAAATCTATGCATTTGAAAGTAATTTGAAGCCAAAAAGTGTATGAAACCTTGCGTTCTCGCACAACGGTAAGTGAATCTTGCATCTGTTGCTCGAGAATGGTGAGATCATTGACGTCCAAACCATCTAGATCTTCTCCAAGAACTCTCTGCCTGCAATTACCCACAAGAAAGTTCAATCTTTATTATATTCAACGTAACAAAATCGGGGTTTATAGGACGTCCAAAATGTCTAAATATTAATATTGTGCTAACAGACTGTTTTATAGGACCTAAGTTTATAGAACCGAATAATGGAGCTACCCATCTAACAATACTGTAACAAGTATACAAGACTCTTTTGGATGTGTTAACAAGTTTTTCATCATATTTTTAAAATAAAGCATTGGTGTTAACTATTTTATAGAAAAAAATTTAGAGGTATTGTATTAACACATAAAGTACTGATTATTGAAAACCATTGTGCGAGAACGCAAGGTTTATTTGACAAAAATACTTAAAAACCATTTTTTATGTATAAAGTACTGTTTATTGATGCATATTATTTAAAATTCAAAATTACAAGTAAATTGTCCATAAGTACAATTTATTAAAGCTCTATGTTTGAATTTGTGTAATTAACTGTGGATAAACACAATCAAATAGAGGACAAACATCTCATTTTAAAATATAATTAGGATAATTATTGAGTTCTAACATAATATTTAATTATTATCTTTATAAAAAAAATATTATTAAACCTAAATTAAGTTACTTCGTTATGTTAAATTAAATTATAATAAAAATTTTGAATTAAAAACAATACACAAACAAAAACTTTTTAAATAGTTAATTTGATACTAATATTGATATATTTTTTGCAAATTTTATATGATATTTTTAAATTTATATTTTATTCAAAAATAGAAACATTATCTATTTTTCAAAACCACATAAAATCGTATTATATCGACATAGATAAAAAATAAAACGAAACATTGAAATGGAAATGTTTCTCGATGCAATGCACGAGTACTCTTCTAGTATAAATAGTTAATACAATGTTTTATTTTAAAAATGTCCTTAAAAGTTTGTTATAACGTCATATAAACGTATTACAATAGGTAACTATATTGATTGATGCTATAAACTTAAATCCTTTAAAACGGTCTATTAGGACGCTTAGGAGTTGCTTGGTGGTTGCTGAATGGTTTAGTGTAAAATGATTAAACGGTCAGAATGATTAAAAAACTTTCATGATATAGTGCAAAATAAAATATAATTGTTTGGTAATTATTTATAATGAAATTAAGGCGTTGAATGGTTAAGGGAGACCTAGGATGCAAAATCATTATGAGGATTTTAGAACCATTAAGAGCCATACTTTTTTTTTGCCAAACAAGATTCATCTTTTAACGATTCAGAGACTGTCTCTTAATGGAACTATTAAGATGTAAACAAACGACCCTAGACATTTTTAGAGTCTTATAAATCTGATTTTGTTGTACCGATTAGACTCACCTGATCTCCTTCCTAAGTCTATTGTTTGAATCTTTCAGCTTCTTCATTGTTTCCTTCATCCTCTACACATCCATATACAAGTCATCATGGAACAGTAGAATCAATCTTTAACAAAAACCATGAAAATGCATCCTGAAGAGAGAGAGGAATGGGAGAGAAGTGAACCTCATAGTGGGAGCTCCATAGATCAAAACCTAGGGTAGTCTGATACATATCATACATCTTCTTAGTCCTGTGTAAATTTCCCAAGAATCAAGATTTATAATTGGCAAGCAAATTCAAAGGTGGTAGAAGATATATATATATATATATATATATATATAGAGATACAGATGGTGTGTATGTATATATTATTACGTGGTGGAAGGGCTGATGTACTCATGGAATTTGCCAGTGTTGGAGAACATAATGAGAGAGATCTTGGCATCACAGAGAACAGTGAGCTCATGAGCTTTCTTGAATATCCCATTTCTTCTCTTCGAGTATGTCACCTGCCTGTTCGTGTTGTTCTCTATCTTCTTTATCTCTATCTTCCCTCTCCCCATCTCTCTCTCTCTCTCTCTTTCACTTTCTCTCTCTAAATCTCTTGTATGATGAGATTTCTTGAAACCAACTGAACTGTGTACGTAACCCACAACTTAATGAAGCAGCTGATGATGGAGAAATGAAAAGAGAGATCGATGTGATGGTGGTTGGGTGATTGGTAACTTTGAAATCCTTTTTATAACTTAGAATCGAGAGTGGATGCTGTACAAATGGTTGAGATAGGAGTTGGGATGAGGAGTACATAAAGAAGGTTACTAAAAATAGAAAGGTAGGGAAAGTGGGAAGAGGTTGAGTAAGTAGAATTGCTTTTGCCATTTTGGTGAAAGTGCTTTTTTTCTTTGGATGGGTTTTCTCGCTTTATTAAGCATCATGAAGTGTCCATTCTTCACTTCCCTTTTCATATTTCACTTCCCATGTGCTCCTCATGTGCTTTGCCATCAATTTCTCTCAATAAAATGCAGCCATATTGTTAAAGATAGTGAACCAATCTCACACACAGAGAGGGATATCATATGTCTCTCTTTTTCAGGATGAATATTTATCGTAAATAAAATGAATGTAAAAGTATTATTCATCATAAATCGTGCATTCATGACGAGTATGTCATAACATTCTTGATAAAAACATGTCCATATTCCTAATGAAACCATAATTATAATGTTGTGGTTGTTTATTGTACGCTTGCATGTTGTTTATTACTTTCAATTGTTATTATAGTTGCAAACGTTTTAAAATTAAATTGAAACATAAAATAAATTTTAAATTGGCAATAAAATAAGATATTTTAAATTGATATGATTATCAAAACAAATTGATTTTTGGATAAGCTTTTAAACTAAAGATTTTATTTTCAGATAATGTTTCACAAATGTAAACTAAACACTGCTCGTTTAAGGTACTTGTCAAGGCTTATAGATTCCCTTATGGTTAGTGTCTAGCTAATCATGTCGGGTAATTTAGTGTGAGACAAGGCACCAAAAAATTGAGATTTAAGTGAACAATTGTATTTGGCCACTCGCTTAAATAGTCATGTTTTGGACGACTGATCCCAACAAACTCTAAGTTAAGTGTTTAGGTGGGATCACGATACCTTAGTATGGTTAGTTTACCTGGAAATGTCATAGATAGTTGCATTGGCCATCTATTAGTATTTTTAAGGCCGTTGAAGTGGGATTAAACATGTCAATTCCAATATATGATATATTCAATAGAATCTCACAAAACGTGAGGGGGTGTTTGGTTCAGAAAATGGAATTTGATGGAATTTGACCATGCGTTTGGTTGGTAGGAATTGGAATGAAATCTCTCAAAATAATTGGAAGTCGTTGTTTGGACTATCTCACCCACCGCCCCGTCCACACCCTACCAACCACCATGTCACTATTATCACTCTGCCCCACCCTACCAAACCCCTGCTCTATAGGTTGGGGTTGTTGGGGGCAGGTGGGGCGAGGCGGTAGGGGTGGGACCAGAGGGCGGCAGTGGGTGGTAGCTTTGACGACTACAGTGCTAGGATGGTGGTTAATGGTGAGTTGGAGTAGGTGAGGTGGGAGCGAGGAGGGACGGTAGGGTAGGTAGGGGTAGGTGGCAAGATGGTAGCAGTGACGATGATAGTGGTGGAATAGTGGTCGGGTGGCTGGGAGTGAGTGGGTATGACGACAACAATAGTGGCATGGTGGGTTGGGGTAAGGTCGGGTGCAAGTGAGTGGCAATTGTGAATACGACAGTAGTGGTGTGGGTGGGGGGTTAGGTTAGGAGCAAGGTGGGGCAGCGGGGTAGGGCAGTGGGGATGGGTATCGGGGTGGTAGCTGTGACGACGAAAGTGGTGGGATGGTGGTCGGGTGGCTGGAAGTGGGTGAGTATGATGAAAACAATAATGGCATGGTGGCCAGTGGTGTGTTGGGATAAGGTGGGCTGGGGGTAAATGGTAGTTGTGACAATGACAATAATGGTGTGGTGGTAGGGGTTAGGTTAGAGGCGTGACAATAACAGTAGTAGCAAGGTCATAGTAAGGATGTGTAGTGAGTGGCCAGGGGATGGGTGGTGATGACAACGATAGTGGCATGGTGGTTAGTGGTGGGGTACGATGGGTGGCGACGACAATAGTGGTGTGGTGGTGGTGGTGGTGGGAGGGTTAGGGGTGGGGCATAACGAACAATAGTAGCATGGTTGTGGTGGGTGGTGATGGAATTCATTTCCTTTCATTATGCCAATGAATGGTGAATTCAATAATTTGTGGAGTTCAATAGAATTTGAAGGATTTCATTCATTTCAAGAAATTAACCAAACAAAGGAATTGGAATTTGGTCAAAGTTAAATATGGCATTCCAATTCCATCAAATATCTTTGAATTCCGCGAACAAACAGCCCCTAACAGTTACATTGAATGTAATTGAACGATGTCTACCTAAATAATCTATTTCCATAAAAAATTGCATCTGATAATTTATAGAAATTGGTGAAATATGGATCTTAGATCAAATTAAAATAACTTTTGAAAGGTTAATTAATTTTATTTGAGATTTTAAAATTACTAAAATTGAACTTAAATTTTGTAGATGTCTACTACCACCACAAAAACAAACGCAAACAACCTATCCGAGTTTACACTGTGGTCTATTCTTGATAAGAAAAAACTAAACGAGACGAACATCCTATAATGATTTCGTTTCCTAAGTGTCGTCCTTAGACATGAAAAGAAGTTCAACGTTTTAGAAAACCCCCCTTCAAACACTTCTGCTATAATTGCTTCAACTAAGATCATAACTGCTTATGATAAGTATGTCAATGACTCACTAGATGTTGGTTGCCTTATGCTAGCTTCCATGATGTCCGAGTTATTGCGAGATCATGAAGGCATGACTGCACGAGATGTGATTATCTCATTGAAGTCCATGTTTCAGCTACAAGCTAGATAGGAGAGGTTTGATACAGTCAAAGCACTACATGCTTGCATGATGATTGTCAATCTAGACCCAAGTTTTGAAAATGAAAGGGTATGTTGACAGACTGGTCCACCTTGGCTTCCCACTAAGTCAAGAATTGGCAATCGATTTGGTTATCAATTCTTACCCAAATCATACGTTCAGTTCGTCTTGAACTAATATGAATAGTTTGCATAAGACTCTCATAGAGCATCACAACATTACCCTTTTCATACCACTTCTGAAAAATATGTTTTTAAGACGTTTTTAGGCGTCTTGACAAGGTTTTTAAAACATTTTTAAAATAAATCGTATTAGCTATTTTATAAAACTCTTTTGAGAAGTGTCATATAAACACATATTTTTATACGACATTTATTTTAAAAGACACTTTCAAATTAATAGTGTCTTATAATATTAAATAGTTAATAAGATTGTTTTATATGAAAATGTCCTATAAATTTATTGAAACATCTTTAGATAGAACATTTTATCATTTGCTCTATAAAGTAGGTTCTATGAAACAGTCTATTGGGAACCTGAATATTTGTTACGTTGTATAAACTCAATTTTGTTGTAACATGAATTAATATGGTCTCTGAGAACATAATTGACATCTAAGAACTGCATACTACCGGTTTTTACAGTTTTTGTGCATTTCTTGAAATGAGATTATAGTTCAATATGATCGGGATCTCAAGTTTAAGATTCTATATCCTATGTCGATCTGGTCTCTAATGATCATGATCAATTTCGAGTCGCGTATGTCTTCGGCCGCCAAGTTGACTTTTGGGCGCTGAGTATTCGTTCTTGGTTCTCAAAAGAAGTTAAATAAACCTCCCAGTGTAGCGACTTCAACAAGTTCTTGATTTCCTCTAACATGCTCGACTCATCTCGAACAATTAGTTTCCCTCCTGGCCTCGTGATTCTATCTACCTCTACCATAACCGGTGTGATCTTGCATCTGCACAGATAAAAATCATAAATATTTTGAGAAACTGAAGACATTTTTCAACAAAAAAAATTGTTTTTATAAGACGCCAAAAATGTTTAAGCGTTCTAATAAAATACTTTATAGGACTTAGAACGAAACCAAAAAAATGTCAAATCTAAAAGTGTTACAATAGGTTTATAGGACGATTTTAAGAGTTTTAGCATTTTTTGGAACACTTTTAAAATAAAGTGTCATATTAGCTATTTTATATGACATTAAAGTGTCCTAAAAACACAAGGGTCAAAATCGTCTTATAAACCTATTGTAACACTTTTAGATATGACGTTTTATAGTTATATATATCCTATACACTTAAGTTATATGAAGTATTCTATTAGGACGTTTATATATTTTTTAGGCGTCCTATAAAGCCAAATTTGTTGGAGTTAAACCAATTATTTCATGTATTTAATTTTCGTGATGAATAATCTTGAAAAATCATGAACATCACGCATTAATTCTTATCATGTATTTTCATTATGAATAATTTTCATCATGCGTGGAGAATTTGTTTACTGGAATCACCTCTTTTTCAAGTTCGAAAACAAATGATCAGCATGAAGAAGATCGTAAGTCCGAGGATACGTGCTAAACGATTCACACCAGTCGTGGTAAATCCCCAAAAGACCCCTATCGTATATCATCGGGAGCGTATCAGGAGAATCTATGTTCACAACATTCATCACCCATAATTTCAGATCCATCAAAGCTGCAGCAAACCTACAAAATCGAAACTTGTTTAGCTTCCGGTCGAAATTTGTATCTCCTTTTAAAACAAATTAATGAGTCATATCTTTAAAAAAAAGGTATTACTCAATTATCAATAAGGTTTAGGCGATTACTACAAAATTGACTTTATAGGACGCATAAGGTGTTCAAGTGCTCTAATAAAGTGTTTTATAAGACTTAAATTTATATAACCAACAAATAAAGTGTCATATCTAAAAGTGTTAAAAATAAATTTATAAAACATCGTAACAAGTTTTTTAGGATTTTTTTTAAAATAAAAGTTGTTTCAGTTATTTTATAAGACGCTTTTTCAAATAGTATCATATAAAATACCTAATACCTAATACGATATTTTATATATAAAATATCTAACACGACATATCTAAAAAACTTGTTACTGTGTCCAAAAACGTCCAATAAATTTATTGTAACACTTTTAGATAAGACACTTTGTTCCTATAAACTCAAGTCTTATAAAGCATTCTAAACGGACACTTAGGGGTGTTTGGGATTGTTTATTTGAAACAACTTATGTTTTTCTAGAAAAGCACTTATCAACTTATTATAAGTCAGAATTATTTAACTTCTTCAAAAAATCTTTATTGCCGGTTTGGCACCGGTATAAGTTGTTTATCCAAACACTTAAAAGTGCTTATTACCGATGTCACACCGGAATAAGTCAATAAGTTTTTTTTATAAGCAATCCCAAACACCCCTTAAAAGCTCTAGGTTTCCTCTAAACTCGATCTGTTTGTAGTGGCCCTTTGGGTCCCCTCCTCAGAGGTCACCTTTCCTGGTTATTCTGTCGGACCCATGGGATTAGTCGAGATGTGTACAAGCTGGTCTAGACACCCACAGTAATAAATAAAAAACAGTTGATGAAGAAGAATGTATGGTAATACTTACCCCCCATAGACAGCTCTCATATCCATAACATTCCTTACATTATTCCAGCTTATTTTTAAACCATTCATATAGGTTTCGGTAACCACTGATTTCCAGTTCTCGTAATCTTGTTCGAAATCATTTGGAGCTGGTTTTCCGTAAATTCCGATCTGGGTTTTGTTTAACCAGTACGGAGGCGTTTGAACTCGGGCCGGCCAATCTTCAGGCCATTGTGAACCTCTTTCTGTCTCCATAGTCGCCACCTTATGCATACATGTTTGCAGCGGTATATACCTGCCAAGAAAATCGCTAATCATTTCGCTTTGAAAACTAGATTATTGATTAAGCACGTGGGTTATGGCGCACTGGTTAGTGGCAGATGTATTGAAAATCCTGTCTTTTCCGGGTTTGAATCCAAGCGTTGTTAAAGCACTTGCGGCCATGGAGGTTCACATACAATGACTTCAAGTCATTCGTGGTACTTGTGGTCATGGAGGTTCACATGCAATGACTTTAGGCCATTCGTAGTTGGTCCGCATAACTGGATATACACCCACGTTTACCCAAAAAAAAATATAGATTATTGATATACACTGCAACAAAATTGGTTTTATAGAATACCAAATATGTCTAAATGTCCTAATAGAGTAGTGATTTATACAACTTAAGTTTATAGGACCAAACAATTATGCGTTCTATGTAAAAGCTTTGTAATAAGTTTATACAATGCTTTTGAATGTCTTAGCAAGTTTTCAGGACACTTTCTTATGTATTAGCATGTAAACACGCCTGTTTATATAAGAAATTTGTTTTTTAGGACATTTTTTCAAATAATGTCAGATAAAGACGTATTTTAGAAAGGTCCTAAAAACTCGTTAAAATGTTCAAAAACGTCCTATAGTTTGTTGCAACGCTTTACATAGGACGCACAATTGTTTGGTCCTATAAACTTAAGTCGTATAAAGCAATTTCCCATGACATTTATAGACATAATTGATTTCGTACAAAACCGATTTTGTTGCGGTGAAAGATTAATTTTAAACAATTCGACTCCTACATACCATGCAGCATTTGGGTTATCATCACACATCTGAGGTTCTTGTTTCTTTCTTTCCTTATAACATTCATTTGAGTCTGGCTTTTGGTAGACAGCAACACCAATTCCATTCAGCTTATCCTTCTTGATGGTAAGAAGCTCCCAACACATAGCCCTTGTTAGGGCAGACATGGCTGAATCAAAGATCCTATGTTAGTTATCTTAAGAAACTTCCGAGTTTCGAGTCGATAAACAAGATTTTCTAACGATATGCACCTTCCCATATCTCGACATCCTCTTTGTGCTTCTGGTAAACGGGTGTTGCCGACCAAACGAAATAACCTCCTGGCCGAAGAACGCGATTAAGCTCCAAAAGAAGCGTACCACCTTCACAAGAAATAGCAACTTGATTCTAACTGTTTATAAGCATGTAAAGTTTTAAAACACGGGTCGACACTACAGTGAAATCGATTATGTAGGAAGTTAAATATGTCTAAATCCAGTAATAGACTGGTTAGGTTTATAGAATCAACAATTGAGAGGTTGTTTGGTAGTTGCTAAATGGGTTGGTGCAGAATGATTAAGTGGTCAAAATGATTAAAGAGGCTTTCATGATATTCTGCAAAATGAGATACAATTGTCTGGTAATTGTGTACAATGAAATTAGGGCTCTTAATGGTTAAGGGAGATCTAGGATACAAAATCATTCAGATGATTTCAGAACCATTAAGAGGCGGACTTTTTTGGTGCCAAACAAGATTCACCTCTTAACGATTCAGATGTTGTCTCTTAATGAAACTATTAAAAGGTAAACAAACAACCCCTGAGTGTTAGATATGAAGGTATTACATTAAGTTGATAGGACGATATTTGGGGGTTCTAACAAGTTTTTTAGAATACTTTTGAACTAAAGCGTCGTATTAGACTTTGTATATAACATCATTTGAAAAAGTTGTGTTTATATGATACTTCTTAAAAATGTCCTATAATAATATTACAACATTCTATTTTAAAAGTGTCCTAAAAAACCTGTTGGGATGTCTTCAAAACATCATGTAACACTTTTACATAAAACGCACAATTGTTTAGTCTTATTTATATAAATCCCCTAAAGGAGTCTATTCAGAAAATTTAGACATATTTGACGTTCTATAAAACTGATTTTGTTGTAGTGAATGCTTGTATAAGTTACAGAAAAACTAAACCTTCTCTGTGCCAAGGTACTCTACAACGAGCACAATGAACAAGATCGAAAACCCCGCTTGAAAATGGAAGGCGTTGAGTGCCCATTACAGCGGAAACCGCTGGTATTCCTCTCTCAAGAGCAAACTGAACTTGAGCTTCGTGTTCATCTTTTGGCGCAAATGACATCGTAAGTACGTTTCTATCGAATAAATAGCCACCAAAACTTGCAACTCCACACCCAACATCCAGTATTACTCTCGTGTGCTTTCCCCATTCGATCTCGGGTACTATCTGCACCTCGTAAGAAGTCGATGAAGTTGGGTTTTAAGTCATGTTTACGTTAATTGTTTTTTATCATTACAACAAAAATCGACTTTACAGGAAGTCAAATATATCTAAATAGACATTTTTATATAACCAAACAATCACCGCAACAAAATTGGGTCCATAAGACACCTAAAATAATCAAGGGTATATTCTATTATGACGTCCATTTATAAAATGAAACTATCAAGCGTCACATCTAAAAGTGTTATGATATTTTTATAGAACGCTTCTGGACATTTTAATGAGTTTTTATGACACTTTTAAAATGAATTGTCGTATTAGCTATTTTATAGAACAATTTTGAGAAGTGTCTTGTAAATTCATCTTTTTATAAGACACTTGTGTTTATAAGACACTTTTCGAATAGATTCTTATAAAATAGTTAATACAACATTCTATTTTTGAAAGCACCCTAATAAACTTTTTAAAACACCCAAAATTATTCTATAAACATATCGTAACAATTTTAGAAAGAACGTCTTTTTGCCCTATAAACTTAAGTCCTATAAAGCATTTTCTTATAATGTTTAGACATTTTAGACATCCTATAAACAACTACAAAACAAAGAGACATCACCGACGTATTTTCCCGCCGGTAATTACCGACAGATTTATAGCGGATTACTGACGGATTTTTCCATCGGTAATTGAAAATCCGTCGGGAATCACAATCATCGGCCACACTTTCTCCGGCAATGAGATCTACCGGTGATGGCTTTTCCCCACGGATTACCAACTGATATTTCCGTTGGTGAAGGCTATTTGTTTTGTAGTGAATCTAATGTTGTTGTAGTGAATTGTGCGTCTTAAATAAATGTGTTACACGCTTTTGGATGACTCTATGTAACAAGTTGTTAGAACACTTTTGAAATAAATAAAAAAACTGATATGAATTATTTTAAAAACCGTCTTATAAAACAAATGTTTTATAAAAAGATGTGTCATTATCCTAAAAAAAACCAATAAGAACATTTTACTTCAAAAGTGTTCTAAAAAACTTGTTAAAACATTCGTTACATATTATCAACTTATTGTAACACTTTTAGATAATACATGTAATGGTCGTAAATTCTGTTACCTGTTGCACGAAATCAATATAATGGAGAGCACCATGGATAAATTGAGTTCCACCTCCAGGGAAAGTGAGGAATTCCCCTGTCAACTTCACCCAATTTTGGTGCCCTTTTACTGCTGCCAACCCCTTGTGTGGTACGTTATTGAACCATATCTGCGTTGTACACCCTAAAATTTATCAAGCATTTGTGACTATTTGATGGTACGTGTTTAACTGATGTAAGAATCCAACAGTATTCGTACCTTATCTCTGCTTTGAGGCCACGGGAGAGGTGTCTTGTAACCGTCCGGGAGAGGAACAAGACACGTTGGAGCCTCATCGGGGCAAAGCCTCTGCCGATGCTCAAAATGGTCCCTACTACCACGCAACGCGTTGATCGCTTTCACGTTATCTAAACAAGGAATGTAATCGTTCCCTGCCGTTACATTGCACAATTCCCATTTGTACTCCGACGTGCCTACGTCATTCTTCACTGTGACGCCACCGGTATTACCACCGCCGTCGTTATTGCCTCCGTCTCGGCTTCTCGAATTATGGTTCGTAGATTGGTCAGCTTGAGTTAACCATTCGTTCTTTGCTTCGTTTGACTCGTCTGGTATCATCCCGAAAGATCTTATTTCGTTTGTTTTGGTATTATCTTTCTTTGATGTTGTGATGGTTTCTTTCTTAGCTTCTTGATTTTCAAATTGGGCTTTTGTCTCGTTTGCAATCGAGTGGGATCGTATTTCCGTATCCTCGTCCGGTCCTTTTTCGTGTTCTTCGTCTCTCTTACGGTTTTCTTGATCTTCGTCACCTTCATTCGCATCTGTAACTTGCTTTTTTCTATTGCTCTCTTGATGATCTGCTTCATTTTCAGTCTTTTTCTTGGTTGTAATCATATTCTCAGTATGTTGTTTGTAAGGTTTCTTGTTCCCCTCGAACGATTGCGTATCTTTCGTCTTCGGTTTTTGCTCCTTTTTACGCACTTTTTCTTGAAATCCATGGTGGTTGATATCACTATCATTCAAAGTCTCAAAACCATTTCTAGTGATTTCATGATCGTGGTCATGCTCAGTTTCTTTTGGTTCATTGTCTTCATGTTTGGAGTAGTTTCGATCCAGTTCTCGATCATGGGCCATGAAATCATCATCGGATTTAATGGCGTCGGCGGGTAGATCACCTGGATTGTCTTCGAAAACAGTATGATGATGAGTCGGGATCTTTCGTGGTAGATTTCGCTTACGATGAACGTTATCGAATACGGAATCCATGATGATGGATTTCTTTTGAGGGGAAACAATGGAGTTAGAGGTTAGCATCCAGACACCAAAAATGCAAACGAATATGAACACGAGTACGGTGGCTGTTGATGAATTACAAGAAGCACCACCACCGGAAGGTCTTTTGGAACCACGAGATTTTCCGGCAGCCATAGTTATGGGAGGAGGAGGAGGAGGAGAATTTTGATGGAGGTCATGAAAACATTAATTAAGTCTAAAAATATTGTCTCAAGATCCAAAAGGCATGGAGAGTGCTTGTTGCCACCTCTATCTCCTTCCTTTATTTAAGGTTACTTGTCCCAACATGAGTTTCTCTAGACACAAATAATCGTTTATAAATACAACATTAAATTTCTATTTGTTGTTATATATATATATATATATATGAAATCAAATAACAGTCATGAACATTTCATATATGATATTATAGTTTATCACATTTGATAATAAATGAAAGATGCGGGCGTCCTTTGGTGTGATCTAAGTCGCGGACAACACCACTGTGTTTTCTCACGTGTAACATCACATGTTATGGACGTTCTCGTATTTTCATAAAATTAATGGAGGTGTTGTCATTTGAATATATATATATATATATATACACAAAAATATATACTTAGGTTTAAGGTAAAACCACAAAAAAATGGAAAATTGAGAATCATACTAATAACCATTCATTTGTCGGGTATCTACATGTGCATAAAGATAATTTAATATTACGCACATGTGCAAATTAGACAAATAAATGGTTATTATGGTGTTTCTCAATTTTTTATTTATTTGTGGTTTTCCTTTTAACCCTTGTGTGTGTGTGTGTATATATATATATATATAGGTGGAGGTTCAAACGAGAACATTTCTGTTTTACGAGAATACGAGAATATTTATGGACCTCAAAATTACTTAACTCATAATTAAAATTAAAAGAAAAAGTACTAATTGATTAATAATTATCATGTGATTTCGTATTTATCAGTATTTTTGGTGGCATCTTTATCTCTAAAATCGCATATATATATATATATATATATATGTGTGTGTGTGTGTGTGTGTGTGTGTATAATATGTTAACCAGTATCAAATAATTATCACAGCAAAATCATATAATGAATAGACAAAGAGATGAATGTAGACGTGATCATCATTGGTTTGCAATTATCACAACATTATCACATCACTATTACAACAAAAATTACTTAATTATTAGATGATTATCACATCATAAAAAGTCTTGAACTTATCAAATCATTATCACATTATTATCATGACAAAATCAGATAATTATCACAGTTTTATCACATTATTATCGACAACGGACGCATCGACATAACAGGTCTATGATGATTGTAACAACATGTAAGAGATAAGGATAAATCTATGATAACAAAATATTATGGATAAATACTAATTTCCTTTTCATTTATTCGATCTAATTTTCAATATGTTAATTAATTTGGAGGCCCGAAAATGTTCTTGCATTTTTATAAAACAGGGATGTTCTCGTTTGAATTCTTCCCTACGTACATACATGCATACATACATACATGCATACATGCATACATACATACATATATATACACACACACACACACATATATATATATATATATATACACATACATACATATATACACACATGGTTGGGTTGGGTTGGGTTTCGGTGAGAATGAGAGTTAAGATGAGAAGCATAACCACCCTCGGATGCACATTAGGATGAGATGCACCGGATCAATCCCCGTATCAAGTGCGATTCATGGATGGATTTGAGATTAAAGGTAATCAAGGGTTATGATCCTTTCTTACGCTTCTCAACTGCTTCGACAATAACTATAAATGAGAGTTAAATATTGTTGGTGAATTGAGATATCTCTATTCATGAACACTTTTAGAGGTTCATGACCGTGTATAATTAGATTTATCTTTCCTACATATTGTATAAATAATCTTCTACCGTCAATCATGAGCCGATTCATATATTAACCTAAATTATACTTATTTTCGATTAATTATTCGGATTGAGTTCCACCATTTAGATGAAGAACGGGTTCTGAACCTGTTCCCTTCCACACTGGCATTTAGATGAAGAACCGGTCCACCAAGATTGAGAAACAGCCATTGGAGATTCTCTTAATGTGATCAATCATTTTGTGTAATTATGATTTACACGAGATCGAAGAGATTTTAGTCAGGTTATAATATGGTTAGCAGGTACGAAGAGTACATTTGTATAAATCTAACTCGAAACCGAGATCGTCATAAAGCGGGGGTCAAGAAGGTCTCGTCCCCTTATGATGATTTACGAGGGATCAAAAGGATTTAAATTTCATTTTTTTTTAGTTTTTCATTTGATTTGCTTTCTATTTTCTTCGATGATCCTTCAGCGATTACCAACATATTATTAAATTTAATTTTTATTTTTTTATTTGATTTTTTTGCCATCACAATCCCTAGGAAATCCAGATTACCTATAGGTCATTTAAATTTTAGTTCTGATTTTTTCTGTAATCCTTCGGTAATCATCAGAGGGTTACTTACAGTTCATTTAATTTTTTCAAACCATGGTTTTCTACTTTGTCGGTAATCCATCATTAATATGTTTAATTACATCACTAGCATATTAACAATGGATATGAAAACCATCAGTGCAAAATTATAAAATCCTATTTCGACAATGTTCCATCAGTGATCGCAAAGGAATTATATCATTCGATAAAGTTCGTCACTGAAGGTTTGTTGTCCGGTAATGCATGTTGATATAATTAACGTGCGTTAATATTACCTTGACTTTTTTCTTTCGATGTTATGATCATCAAATGACTGTAATTTCTATTTTATACAAACATAAATTATAAATTATATTTTTTTCATATAAAATTGTGTTTATTTTTATTATATTCATTTATAGGGAATTTTATATCATATAAAATCAAATACATGCTTTAATTCTTGTAGATACAATCCATGTCTACTAATTTTCTTATATCAAAATTAAAATTTGGAGGTGTTTGGGATTGTTTATTTAAAACAACTTAATTTTTTTTTATAAAAGCACTTATCAATTTATTATAAGTCTAAAGGGTTTAACTTCTTTAAAAACTTTTTATACCGATTTGGTATCGATATAAATTATTTATCCAAACACTTAAAAATACTTATTATCGGTGTCAAAACGTAACAAATCATTTAGTTGTTTTTATAACCGACCTGAAACACGCTTTTAATTTCTACAATCATGTCACACGTCCAACTGCTGGTCAAAGCATGATTTTGACTTTTTAACCTAGAAAACGTGGGCTCACGCCTCTCGGTTCCTGGATCGTGTCATCTTCATAATTTTCTGTTGGAGGGTTTTTGGATCGTAACACAGGTACCCCAATTCTGTATCTAGATTACTTGCTCATTTTTGTTCTTTGGATTATTGGATCTTAAATTGTATATGCTTCGTCGTGTTAGATCTTGTTCAATTACAACCGGAAGTTGGAAATTTTATGGTGTCTACATTTATTTTTTGTTTCATCGTGTAGATCCTTAGTGGTTTTGTGGATGTATTCCGAATTTCTGGTTTGATTTATGTTTAGTGATGATCATGGAAATTCTGCAATTAATGATCTTGTTGCGATTACTGCGCATAGGTTTGTAAGAAATGACAAATTGGAGAAATTGTAGTTCCTTGATTAGGGAAATAGAAAATTAGGGAACTGATTCATGTTGTTATGTTTTCTCCTCGGGCATTGATTTTTTCCTGCATGAATTTTCCCAGAAATCTCTCGGTATGAATCTCTTTTAAGTTTGATTTATATGCTTTGTCACAGCATTTAATAACAAAGCCTAGGTACAACGGATAAGCATCCTCACTTTAGAGTGATCACTGCAGATTTGTTACAAATAGAAGTTATGAACAAGCCATGAAGCATTGGTGCTTCCAACAATTCTAATGGTAGACTGGTGGTGATAGAACTTACATGTAAGGGGGACTCCATTCAGAATCTGGAAAACAAAACTGAGAGCTTAGCCAAGCAGCACTGAAGATCATAATTTTCTGTGAATTATTCAAGCAGCCATAAACCCCTGAAATAAAAAGTCTCATGTTATGCTTTTTAAGCAAAAGTCATGCTTCATCTCTAACTAAGAAATTATTTAAGTGGCACTATAAAATTGCTACTTACCTAATTATTAAAGTGTTCCTCTGCATGCCATGTTCGAAAGTAACAATCATACGAATACCAATCCACTTTCTTATATGATTTACTTCTAGCAATATAGGATCCACGGGGAAATTACTTAAGAGTGCATCTGATGCTACAATGGGTCCTACCTGTTAGAGATGGATCTTATCTCAAGCTAGGGGCCTTATTGAACCTGGTTTTCCTCTAAATAATTGTATTCCAAGTGGAAGCGATAAAAATTCCTTAATGATAGTAGTAAAGCCATTCAGTTAGAACTTTACTGAGATCCAAGTAGAGGTGTTGTGCCCCTACCACATCCCATCCCCAAAAAGAAATCAATATTGCAGAAGAGAAGAAACTGTAAAGAAGAAAAAGGTCATACATTCAAAATAAAAAGCTATTGAATTCTTGCTTAATTAGGTAAGATTGCAATATCCTTTGTTTTTGGTGAATTCGGAAGTGGAGACTTGTTACATGATTAGCATAATCGTGATTTATAAGCAGCATATATACTAAAGCAATCTAGTCTTTGCAGTTCTTACAATGGAATCGGATACAGAACCTAACCACAGCATGATGATTGAGCACACTGTTCCCCAAAACATGCAGATTGATCCATCAAGAGCTCGTTTTCCATGCTGCATTGTATGGACACCCCTCCCTGTTATTTCATGGCTCCTTCCATTTGTTGGTCATATTGGTATAGGCAGAGAAGACGGAGTCATCCTGGACTTTGCAGGACCTAACTTTGTGTGCGTAGATAACTTTACTTTTGGGGCTGTGGCTCGTTACGTCCAAATAAGCAAAGAGAAGGTACAACCTGTTTACTGTTATTACCAATTTGTATATGATAGACTGTATATCTGTAGTCTAGCCACTGAACTCAGTTCCTCGTGATAAATTGAATAATCATCATCATTGCTTCTGAAATTACCCATTAATTGGAATCGTTGTCATTGAATGAACCTGCATCCATTAGGTGTCACTCTTCAATGTTTTCTGAGTGATTCATGTTTTTGTAACATTACACAAGTTTATATACATCAATACATGTGTAAGAAAGAACTCAAGAAGTCTTGACCTTGCTTATTTATCAGGCACAAAGTAACTTCTCTCTGTTTCGTAATACTATTTACGTGTAATAATTCTCGTTTTCGGATGTCCCATGAGTATTTCTACATTTCTATTGTTACAGAAGTTGGGAATTCTCTTATTTCATCAGTATTGAAGGGTATTTGAGATATTTTACATATACTCCAACAGTTTTTCCTTACTATATGCGTCGTCAACTGTTGCAATATTCATACAATAGCCAAGAGTTCATCCATGACATCGGGTGCATATGTATATATAAGAGAGATTGCATTCATGGAATCTAAGTGCACTGAATAGTGCTTGTCAAAGCCTTATCCCACAACACACAACCGTTATTATTTTGGGAATCCGGGAACCGATTATTAATTCTTTCCATGATGAATATCATGATAGATATCATGATGAAAATTATTCATCATGAAAATATGTGATATTCACGATAAAAATGCATGATATCATTAATGAAAATGTATGATATTCATGATGAATAATATTTTGCATTATCACCATGATTAATACATGAAAATAGTTGGTTTCTAATTTCTCAAAATATTTATGCTTTCTTCTATATATGGGACAAATCAAATGAGAAACACAAAAATAGTAAGAACTGTGGGAACCAGTTTCAAATGTGAAACATACACAAACACATAAATAATAATACCACATTGAATCCTAGCCTGAAATCAAACTCATTGAATGGTTGAGATTGGTTCTCATGGTTCCCAACATTTTTGTGGTTCTCATTTGATTTTTCCCAACTGTTGGAATAAAAATATGAAACCTTCTCTTGGAAGGGGACAACACACACCTTTTTGTGTTTCTTTATGTATGCGTATTCTTTTAACGTCATTAGGCTATTTAGAGAGCTTATATCCCAACTACATTACACCTTAACTCTTCTAATCTTTCGCTACAGTGCTCCATAACCCCTCATCCGTCCAGCATGTACAGAAGCGAAGAAGAATACAGACTAGTAGAGTCGGGAAGAAACCAACACACATGGGATGATGCCTTAAAAAAGAGCACACAAGAATACCAACACCGAACATATAACATCTTAACGTGCAACTGTCACTCCTTCGTGGCCCATAATCTGAACCGGTTGGAGTTCCAAAACGGGGGGTGGAACGTAGTCAATGTGGCAGCATTGATTCTGCTGAAAGGTCAATGGGTAAATACGACATCGATGATTCGAGCTTATGTTCCATTTGTGATGATATTCTTGGTAGGAATCACATTTGGAGGAGCTAATTTTCTTACTTTTTTGGCGTTCTTTGCAATTCTTCTTGTTGGATGGTTTATTTTGGGTACATATTGTTTCAAAAACTTCATAAAGCTGTAGTGGGTAGTAAAGGCTGTTTTTGCTTATGGCTGGATTTTGAGTTTGACAGTATGCAAAACTATTATTGATTGTATAAAGATTTGGTGTATCAAACGTTGTTTTCATCTGATTTTTGTGCAAATACAGTGGGATAAACAAAGACATTCTTTTTCTCTTTTTCTTTTTTATAAATCTCAGACGAAATAGGATCTGGAAATGATAAGATGCATTATGTATCCAACATTTTCTGTTTATATTCCTGCGGAAATGAATTTTGAGAAGTTGTGGATTGTTCGATATTTATAATCATTTTAAGAACTCCATAAATACATTTTTTAGAAAAAAAATTAAAGTTCTCTCCTCTTTGATGTATGTATGCGCACACATGAATAATTAAATATGTACATAAAATGAACAAGTGGTAGGTTTAGATTTAGTTCTGTTATTTTAGTTGGTGTTCACAATATGTTCACAAAGCATACCATATTTCATAGATTTATAGTGTGTTCACAATATGTTTACAAATTATAATAATATTTCTTAAAAAAAAGGTCACAATATGTTATCTTATTCTTATCTGTACTTTTTTTTTGTACTTGTATATAATAGAGAGAGAAAAGAAAAGAGAGGAGGAGTTTTCAAAATTAAATTGGATTTTATTTTTTTAATTAGTTTTTAGAGTATAAATTAGATTTCATGGATCTTACGAATTAAAAAAGTCCTTGAAATAACGTCTTTATATAACTATTACATCTTTTTCATCAACTATTTGACAATTGTGTACCGATGAAATTTTTTCATGTCAAAAAATATATATGAGTAGAATTGAAGAGTATGTATTTACTTTTAAAAGTGAATTTTTTAAAATATTTAATTATTACATTTCGTGTGTAAAATTTCTCATTTCTATAACTAGAAAGGTACTCGCACAATACATTGAGATATATCTTAATTTTAATGTTTTGTTTTATTATCTGTCTCTATCGATGTTATAATACGATTTTATGTGGTTTTGAGAAAACAATAATGTTTTTTATTTTTTAATAAAATATATATTTTAAAATATCATAAAATTTTGAAAAAAAAATATCGAAATTAGTGTGAAATTAACTATTTAAAACTTATCGTTCTTTTGTGTAATTTTTTTTTATTATAATTTAATTTAAGGGTAATAATGAAATAATTTATTTTTGATTTAACAATATAACTTTTTATGAAGATAATAATTAAGTATTCTATTAGAACTTAATAATTATCCTTATTATATTTTAGATATTTTATATTCAAAATGAAATGTTTGTCTTTTATTTGAGTATGTTAATCTGCAGTTAGTTACATGAATTCAAACATAAAGTTTTAATAAGTTGTATTTACGTACAATTTACTTGTAATATTGAATATTAAGTAATGTGTGTCAATAACGGTACTTTATGCATAAAAAATTGTTTTTAATAGTTTTTGTCAAATGTTTTATAATATAGTATAGATATCAATTTTTTGTTGTATTTTCTTATCAGGAATTATGTTTCTCTGTAATTATTTTGAATTTCTTGTTTATCATGAGTTTGATTATGTTTCTCTTTATTTGTCAAATTTAATTGTAATATTGAATATTAAGTAATTATTTTGTTTAGAATTTGAATTTTATGTTTATCCTGAATGAGAGAGTGGTTTTTTAAGAGTTTATCTATACTTCTATACTATATTATAAAGCATTTGACAAAAACTCTTAAAAACGATTTTTTATGCATGAAATACTGTTTATTGATGCATATTTACTTAAAATTTAAGATTACAAGTAATTATGCATAAGTACAACCTATTAAAGCCCAATACTTGAATTCATCTAACTAACTGCAGATAAACATAATCAAATATTGGATAAACATCTTATTTTAAATATAAAAAATCTAAAATATAATTAGGATAATCATTGATAACTAACAGAATACTTTGTTATTATCTTTATAAAAAATATATTATTAAACCTGAATTAAATTTCTTTGTTACTAAACCTAAATTAATTATAATTGAAAAAATTTAATTAAGAAAATTACACCAAAACAAAAGAACTTTTAAAAAGATTAATTTAATATTGGTATCGATATTTTTTTTTTCAAAATTTTATGATATTTTTAAATTTATATTTTATTCAAAAATAAAAACATTATCACTTTCTCAAAACCACATAAAACCAATGTTTACTTAAAATTCAAGATTACAGGTAAATTATGCAAAAATACAACTTAT